TTTTTTTTTTTTTTTTGTCTTTTTGAGATGGGGTGTCATAGTGCCATTCAGGCTGGCCTTGAACTTAATTTGTAGCCCAGGCTTGGTCTCAAACTTGCAGTGATCCTCCTGCCTCAGCCTCCTGATTGCTGAGATTACAGGCATGTGCCACTATGCCTGGCTTGCTGAGGTTGATTTTAAACTGGGCTTAAGCAGCCCTTCCACGTCAGCCTTCCAAATGCTGGGGATGCAGGCCCTTGGCACCAACACCCCACAAGGGGAATCTTGATTTCAGATTGACTTTTATGTGTCCTGACTTCTGACTTTTTTTTCCTTATGTTGTAAATCAAAGGCCCCTGGCTTTATGGATTTGTTTTTTACAGTGGGTTTTTCTCCCTGATCAAGATCAGAGGGCACAGCTAATCCTCCCGCCCCCAATTCACGTTGACTACCGGGCGGCTTGCTTCTGTCATCGGAATCTCATCGAGATCGGCTACGTGTGCTCTGTGTGTCTATCCAGTAAGTCCCTGTGCCCTGCTGTTCCTTTTCTCCTGTGGGGGAGGGACAAAAGTGTCTCACTCTGTCCTTGTTTAAATTTGCAGTTTTCTGTAACTTCAGCCCCATCTGCACCACGTGTGAGTAAGTATCCCTCTGTGTGTGTGTGTGTGTGGCTGGCTGGCTGGCTGGCTGGCACTTCCTGGCGGAGGCCGCTGACTGTCTCTTCTGTTTCAGGACTGCCTTTAAGATTTCTCTCCCTCCTGTGCTGAAGGCCAAGAAGAAGAAACTGAAGTCATCTGTGTGACACAGCAGATTTCTTTTGAGGCTGTTTTGTCTTATTTTGGTACCGGGACTCAAACTCAGGACCTTGTGCTTGCCAGGCAGGTGCTTGCGCCTCTGAGCTACATCCCCGCCCCTTGAAGGCTGTTCTGACTAGAAAGCGTGTGGAAGAATCTTGGTAGGAAGACTGAAAAACCCAGCTCTGGGCAGGTTGGTTCTAGTACTGCGAGCGTCCATGGGAAATCGTCCACAGCAGCCCCCTGGGCCTGCGCTCCGCGTCCTGAAGTGTGCTCTGGCCCAGGGAGAGTGCAGGTCTGTGACTTCTTCAGTGTGCTCATTGGTCAAAGCCGGCGTGGAGACTGCCCTGGGCGGGGCCCTCTGCCCCACCGTGCGGCTCATGTGGCTCACCGTGATGCTGGAGCAGGCGCTAGAGGCAGGGCGGCCGGCCGAGCTGCAGCTGTAACCGCGGCAGAGTGCCAGGCAGGTTGCCTTTTCAGTGGTCAGTCGGAAATAATCCTTGAGCCTACTGGGGGTGGGGGGTGGGGGTGTTGTGAGCTCTGCAGGTATTTCTTCTCCTGTCTGAAAGTGCCAAGTGTCAGGTCTGTTCCTGAAATACTTTGTCCCCGAATAACTGCAGCCTGACTTCCAGTGTGTAAGGTGCGCCGGGGCCGCAGGCTGCTTGCAGATGTGCTTGGCTGTGGGCAGGGCGTACTTGTGAAAGGCAACAGTGGGTTCTGGGGGAGAATTCACCGGGGGAAGTGAACTCTGCGTTACCTGTTGTCTGCACGTGGAATCTTGTGTTTTTTTTAAAAAAAAAAATTAGGGGGAAAAACATTAATAGCTGGGCATAGTGTCTATCACCCGCCTGACATCCCCACAGTCTGGGAGGCTGAGGTAGGAGGATCACAGGTTCCAGCCCAGCCCTGGCAACTTAACTAGAACCTGTCAAAAATAAAAACTGAATCAGGCTGGGAATGTACCTCCATGCAGAGGCCCTCAGGCAATCCCCAGGACCCAATAATGCCCATTGATGAGCTCAATACTGAAACATACCTAAGTCCAAAAGAAATGTTATTTATGGGACTGGAGAGATGGCTCAGTGGTCTAAAGCACCTACTTGGAACAAGCTTGGCAAAGCAGGGACCGTGGTTCTAATCCCCCAGCACCACATGCCAGCCAGCCCTGCCCCCTGGTGGGCTGAGCTGGCCACACACACACAATAAATAAATGTAAAATAAATAAATAAAATACGCTTTAAAAAAAAAAAAAAAGACTTCATGAGGATCTTTAAAAAAAATGTTATAAGTTCAACAATAAAAAATATTTTTCTATGTAATAACTTGAGATATTTCCCTAAATATTTTGATTCACTGATTTTCCTAGATTTCTTTAGGGGGTTGTTTTCTAAGACAGGGTCTCACTATGTAGTTGAGGCTAGCTTTGAATTCACTGGAGCTCATGCTGGTTTCAAACTCCTGGTGATCCTCTTGCCTCAGCCTCTTGAGAGCTGGGATCCCAGGTGTGCACCACCTTGCCTGGCATTCCTAGAAATCACCGAGCATCTCTTTAAGTTCTTAGAGAAAAAGTTTAAGGAATTATGGCAGATTTGGAGTTTCTTGAAAGTATACTGACAAAAACCATTTATGTACAAATTTGTGAGGAAATAGATTTGAAAACTCTAGACTATCTCTTGTTTTTTGAGACAGGGTCTTGCTATGTAGTCCAGCCTGGCCTTTTTTTTTTTTTTTGTGGAACCGGGGATTGAACTCAGGCTCTTGCACTTGCCAGGGAAGCGCTTATTCCACTGAGCCATCTCCCCAGCTCCAGCCTGGCCTTGACCTGCACAGATCTTCCGCCTCCCAAGTGCTGAGGTTGCAGGTGTGCACCCTCATGGCCCACTAAGACGATATCTGAAGCTGAGTCTTTAGTTGGTAATTTTGTATTTGCATTGGTAATTTCAGATAGGTTTTAAATTTTGCTTTAAGGTTTTGTAAATAAATAGATTTTGATAATCATTTTGCTAATATTTGTTAGTCCTTGGGTTTAAGATCAGTTTGTCAGGGGCCGGGAGATGGCTCAGTGGAATAAGTGCTTCCCTGGCAAGTGCAAGAGCCTGAGTTCAATCCCCGGTTCCGAAAAAAAAAAAAAAAGATCAAGATCAGTTTGTCTTTCAAAAATAAGATTTAATATTTCATAGACTAAACATAATTGAGGGGCTGGAGAGATGGCTCAGTGGTCTAAAGCACCTACTTGGAACAAGATTGGCAAAACATCAGGGACCGTGGTTCAATCCCCCAGCACCACATGCCAGCCAGCCCCGCCCCCTGGTGGGCTGAGCTGGCCACACACACACACACACTAAATAAATGTTAATAAATAAATAAATAAATGCATACTGCTTTAAAAAAAATAAAGTGTTGTTTAAAAAAAACATAATTGAAATCATTATACTAAAATAATCATTATTTTAGTCTAGAGCTAAAAGATGCATAATTTCAAATAAGTGAAGAAGGCTTGGTTATTTCCTCACTTGAAATTTTGTATACTTGCTTAGTTCTGCTTGTCTTAAATGTCATGTTTATTTTATATAAGTTTGTTTAATAAAATATTTACATTTTCATAGTTGAATTACTTCCTCTTATTGTTTATGTTCATTCAACTCTTCAAATGGATTTGTTTACTTGTCAAGTTTTAAATTTCAAGTCTTAGGGGCTGGGGAGATGGCTTAGTGGAGTAAGCGCTTCCCTGGCAAGCGCAAGGAACTGGAACTGAGTTCAATCCCTGGTTCCGCAAAAAAAAAAAAAAAATTCAAGTCTTGCCACAGTTTACACAAAAATACTATTACAAAAGCCATATTACAATATACTGGTATGAAGGGGTTGATGTAATTTATTTTATTTATTTATTTATTTTTTTTTGTGGAACCAGGGATTGAACTCAGGTCCTTGCGCTTGCCAGGGAAGTGCTTATTCCACTGAACCATCTCCCCGGCCCCATGATGTGATTTATTTCTTATTTTTTGTAGTATTTGGAATCAGTCCCAGAGCCTTCCTATTAAGCTGTATCCCCAACCCTGTCTCCCTCTTTGTCTTTCTAGGTAGGGCTGAAACTTTTGGAACCTTCCTGCCTCTGCCTCCTAAATCCTGAATTATAATTGTGTGCCACTCATTCTGATTTAGTACAACAAGGTTTCTGAGTGTAAAAGTATTAAAGGAAGATTTGATGTTTGCCTGTATTTTATGGCAGGAGCAAAACTGGTTAACATCTGTATTACTTGGCGTTTTCATTGGAGAAAGACAGCTGGTTTTAACACCAGAAAAGTGGGCTATGTTACTGTGCTGCGGTAGCCGACGCGGGGCCGTCCGCTGACCCTTCACCGCCTGAAGTTACACTTTCACAGGCTCCTCACGGCTGGCGGGATGAGGTGCAGGCCGGCCTTCCCGGCTGACCTCAGATTCACAGCAGTCCTCCTGCCTCAGCCTTTCGATAGTGTATAGGTAAGCATGTATAATCCAGCCAGGTGTGGTGGTAGATGTCTGTAACTCTAGCCTGGGAGGCTGAGGCACGAGGAGCCCATGACTTAGAGGCCAGTCTGGGCTATATAGAAGACCCTGCTCAACAATTTTTTGAAAAGCATCATTCAGTGTCTTTTACTGTATTCACAGATAGGTGCAACAGGGCCGGTGAGATAGCTCAGCAGACTAAGCACCTGCTTAGGCAAGCACAGGGACCAGGTGTTGATCCCTGGCACCATGTGCCATGCTGGCCCCACCCCAGGCACACAGAGTGGGTGACCAAGTCTGGGCGTAGTGGTGCATGCCTGTAATCCCAGTGCTGGGGAGGCTGAAAACAGAATCACTAGGTGTAGTGAGACCCTGTATTTAAAAAATAAATAACCATCACCGATTTTTAGTTCTAGAACTTTCCATCACCCCCAAAGGAAATCCCATTTCTTCTTTCCCGACAACCATGAATTCACTTCTTATCTTAGGGCCTTGCTTTTTCTAGACATTTGGTGTACATGGAATCACACAGCGTAGCAGTGGGCGTGCCTTCATCCATATTACACGTTCAGCGTTGGTGCTGCTGTCCTTCCGGCAGATCTTTGGAACTAAGTTGTTCACGTGTCCCACACAGCCTTGGCCGGGGTGACCAAAGCAGACCACTGCTCCACGCCGGCCCCTCCAGGTCCCAGCTCATTCTGCTGGCCTAGAGGACATTTCTCACGGAGGTAAATGTGGACTTCATCTTGGAGAGAGCAAGATAAGCCTCAAAACCAGAGCCCCCCAAGGCCAACTCGGCTCCTCACGGAAGCCTTTTTTTCCCTGTCATCATTTTATTTTATTCATTTCATTTCAAGCTCAGCAGATGAAAGCACTTGCTTAGGCAGACGCAGGGGCCGGGGTTCAGTCCCCGGCCTGCCGTGCCGGCCCTGGCCCCGGGGTACGCTGAGACGCGGACTGAGACTGGGCGTAGCAGGGCACCTGTAATCCCAGTGCTCGGACGGCTGAACACTGGAGAATCACTAGGAGTCTGATCTACGCAGTGAGACCCTGTAGAGCCTGTACTAAAGATATAAAAAAGGTAAAAACAAACATGAAGATACAACAATACACATGGTACATATTTCTAAACAGCAAATTAGCAATGGTTGTTATATTGCGTGTTTTTATCATCAGATCTGTACAGAAGCCTTGCTGTGTGTGCTTTTTGCCTCCTGGTACTGGGAACTGAACTGAGAACCTTTGCACTGAGCTACACGAGCAGGTCCCGGTTAGCTACAGAAAGTTCTGCTTCAGAAGGATTTATCTCCCAAGCTTTTTTTTTTTTGCGGCACAGGGGATTGAACTCAGGACCTTGCGCTTGCCAGGCAAGTGCTTATTCTACTGAGCCATCTCCCCGGTCCTCCCAAGCTTTAATTTATAGTTTTATTTTCCCGAAGACAGTTGGGGAAACACAGTGACAGCCTGCTTCTTACTTACGTTCTGCTGGGCTGTATTCCTGGATACCAAGAGATGCCAACCCTTCCCAGATTCTTAGTGAGGGCAAGGACAGGATGGAATCTCACACCAATGTTATGACCACAACAAATGATGGTTTTACACATAAGAAAAGAGGGGCTGGGGAGATGGCTCAGTGGACTAAGCACTTCTCTGGCAAGCACAAAGGCATGAGTTCAATCCCCGGTTCTGCCAAAAAAAAAAAGACAAGACTGAGTTTAGTGTAAGACCTTGGACAACCTCATCTTTCAGAATATTAGGCTGTCTAATCAATTAATATATATTTTTTGTGAGACAGGGTCTCCACCTGCAGTTTCAGCTGGTCTTGAACTCACTATGTGGCCCGGACTGGCCTCAAACTCATGGCAATCCTGCCTCAGCCTTCCAAGCGCTAGGATTACAGGTGTGTGCCACCACGCCTGGTATGATCAATGATTAACTAGCTGAACATTTTGGGAGTAATGTATCTGCTCCTCTCCCCGTCCCACATGGGAGGGCTGTTCTTATTTCCTTTTCAGAGAAAGGAACTGACCTTTGCAGAAGCGTTTTGCCCAAAATCACCAAAGAAAGTACAGGGGGTGGGATCCAAAACCCAGCTGCCCAACCCTAGAGCCCAAGGTCTGGGTCCCAAACTATAATAAAGTGCTGCCAGACCCCGAGGCAAGAAAACACCTTCGGATCCTTCTGCACCTGTCCTATTGCTGGCCGAGCCCTGTACACCCCACCCTTGTGCTGGAGCTCAAAGCCTTGCACATTCGAGGCAAGTGGTCCGTCGCTGAGCTATGCTCCTGGCCCTTTTTGAGACCCAAAAGGATAGGGTCTCGTTAAATTGTGCAGAGCGACCTCAAATTTGCCATCTGCCTGCCTCAGCCTCCTGAGTAGATGGGATCACTACCCTGAATCTAGCTCTTACTCGAATCCTTTTATTGGATCTGTTTCGGAGTGGTGAAAGCTTGTGCGTTACACACTCTTTAAGAAGGATTTTTTTTTTGGGGGGGGCAGGAGGGCTGGCTCAGGCTGCCTTAAGGGCTGGACTGGTAAGGCACGGGGAGCTGAAGCTTGAACAACTGAGCTGACCCACAAGGCCCCTGTACGCTAAAAACAAACAAACAAACAAACAAACAAACAAACAAACAAACAAAAAACTGGGAGAATGGTAAGGACCCCAACACGGCTGCACAGTTACAGCCCTGCAGCCTCACCTCCTCTTATGTCCATTCCCTGTGAGCCCCCATAAAAGTCGAGCTTACTTAGCAGCAAACCCTCTCACCTTGTTAGAAACCTGCAGGCTGGCTCTTCCGCCGTGTCGCGTTAACTCCAGGGCGGGCGAAAGCTTCACTTTTGGAGCCAAACGCAGACTCCGCTTGTTCAACATTCTTTCGAGAAAGGAATCACAAGAAACAAGACAGGACGGGTGGGTGGGGCCGGGATGTTCCAATCCGGCCTGGGGGCGGACTTTCTTGAGGATAGACCAATCGTGGTGCGCGTCTAGCTTGGCTGTCGGCCGATTGGTGGTTGCCATAGCCGCGGGAGTTCGTTTGGCAAGATGGCCGCCGCGGGGCTGCTGCTGCTGGATTTTGCTTTCCGGGCCTTTCGTGGCTTCTAGGGCGCGCGCGGTCGGCGGCATGGGCTTTCTGCCGCCGATTCCTCTCCTGCCGGCCCTCCTTCTGCTGGGCTTCCTGGGGCTGCTGCGGGGAGACCTGGGTGTGTACTACAGGGCGGGGACCTGGCTCGGAGGGACCTCCCAGTCCCCGGAAGCCTCGACAGCCGGAGGCCGCCACACGCACCTTGGGCTGACTCCTCCCTGCTCTTTCTTCTCTCTTAGTTTTCATCCCTCCCTTTATCCGAATGTCCGGCCCTAAGATTAGGGCGTTTCTAGTCGGAGACACGGAGAATGTGACTGTGTCCCTGGCCCAGCTGCAGGTCGAGGCAGGTAAGACTCCACCCTTCTTGTGGGGGCGACCTGGGGCCTCCTGGACCTCAGCAAAGCAGAGATGGGGAGGAAGCTGTGTGTGTGTGTGTGTATGTGTGTGTGTTCCCAAGAGGACTTGCGAGAGAGCTTTTGTTGAGCTACCCCATGTGCTTCGCATGTACCATCTTATTTTTCTAACAATTATATGCTTCCCTCCCCTTTGACAGATGAAGGAACTCAAGTTCAGCGTGGTTGTCCCTTGCCCAGTGTCACGCAGCTTGCATAGCCAGTCTGACTCTGGTGCACTCCTTCACTGCGGGACACCGTTCTTTTTTTTAGTTTTTTGAGACAGGGTCTTCCTGTGTAGCCAGGCTGGCCTGGAACTCACTGTGAAAAATATATACGACCTGAGGAGAAACCAGAGTGTGGCCTGGAACTCACTGTGTATCCTGTGCTGCCTCCAACTGCTCGCGATCCTCCTGCCTCTGCCTCTGCTTGCTGGGATTAGAGGGTGTGCCGCCACGCCCAGCCAGACACGGCTGTGTTGCATCTCATCTTCTCTCTTTAGGCATACTTCCGGTTCCCGCTTGTGGACTGCCGAGCAATGAGACAGGAGATTGGAGTGTGACTGCGACCCCCAGTTTGGTAAGGCCAGAAGTAAATCTGCTGTCTCTAGAGCTTTCTGCCTACTGTGGTTTGACCCCTGGCAGCTTTCTTAGTGTTTAGAGCTGCCCCGAAATTGTGGGATGTCACTATAGACCCTCCTTCAGCCCACCACGTCCAATCTCAATCCCCGACCCCCTCCCGGGGCACACCGGGGTTTGAACCCTGTCCTCTAGGATTCTGCCTCTAGGATTAGGGGTCCTTGAACACATTTTAAGGGATCTGTGAACCATATGAGACTGGGCCTCAGATTTTGTCTTTCTCCATCTATCTCCCTCTCTGTGTTCAATTCCAGGCCCTACCACATGCTAGACAACTGCTCTGTTTCTGAGCTACATCCTCAGCCTTCTAAAAGTTATTTATTTTGAGTTAGGGTCTTGCTAAGATGCTAAATTGTCAGGCTTTGCTTGGATTTGTGACCTTCCTGCTTCAGCCTCCCAGCATACTGGGAGTACAGGAATGATCCATCATCCCCTGCCCATGTGTGCTTTTCTGATGAGTGGGCTACCGGCTTCTATCAAATTATCAAATAGGTCTACGTCTAAAAGCTACTGATCTTGGGCTGGTGAGATGGCTCAGTGGTGTAAA